GATCTGTCAAAAGTACAACGGCACTTCGAAATCTATCCGTATACAAAACACATACAACAAATATCTAATCTGCTTTCATGTTTTTCTTCAATACGGAAACTATTCCATGCGAGTGCCGCCGTGAAAGCGTCTAGCCTATTTATTGTAGACACAGTCGGTCCATCATCAGACAGCCGGCTGCTGCAGATGGCATTAGAAACAGATGCCATCAGTCAGGGTTCAGCTCCATTTGGGTCTAATAACTGATGCTCCATGTGCCCTCTGCATGCATGTGCGTGTGGTAATGTGCGGATACATGCATGTGTGTGTGTGTGTGTGTCTGAGAGACAGAGACAGTTGAGTATCTGTCTCAGTGAATTTAATCCCTCAGCTGCAATTAAGACAACTAAAAACGGATCACATTGGCATGGGCATGTGTGTCTGGCTGTCCGCTCATACAAATGGCACGTGTATGTGTGCAGGATTAGATTACTATAAAGCCATCCATCCAGCAGCAGAGAGCTGAACAAGCGACGCTGTTTTACCCCATTACCCACTAACTCTTAAATCTATTTTTCCATCCCATCTGCGTGTGATGTGACCTCATCAGCGACTGTGATACGGCGTGCACACCGGCTTAGTAATCGCAAAATTAACTGCAGCCGGACGTCAATGCGAAGAACATCTTGTTCATTGACGAGAAAAAGAAAAGTAAAGAACACCACGTGATTTTGTCCAGTGGTCTTGCTCTGGAAATTGTCACATGTTTTTACATTTGTGACCCCGAGGTGACACCAAGTAAAACAATGAGGATTTGATATCGCAGTAATTGGACAGAGGTCGTACGTGTGTATTTCTTATTAGGGAGAAGTAATTGATTGCACGTCGCTCCTCCTCCATCATTACACAATGACGTGCACATCTGTTGTAATGGATGCAATTACAACAAGTATTACAGAGCGAGTTGCCAATGAGTAGTGTAATGTATGTACTACTTGTACAGGTTGTTTTAATGCACAAATACAACCAAGAGAATGCAAAACACTGTTTTCCAATGTTTGCAAATTCTGGGTATCTGCAATCCACGGGCATACAATTGATCAGAAAGATGGGTAAGACTAAATAAGCATATTAAACCATATGACATTGTCCGCCATAATATTTGTCTCACAGCAAGAGTAATCATGGGATAAAAGAGATTTGAATTAATCTAATAGCCTGAAAATACCAGCGTGAACTAATTAACTGCACAAAGAAACAGATTAAATAAAAAAAAGTACTTTTTCCACCAAATTATGTTGCAGTTGTAATTGTTGTGTTATTTATTTAGTTTTTGGCTTTCACTGCATGAAAACTACCACTGATGTATTTCTAACTACGGTAAAACTAAAAATGTAAAACATAGAAAAGAAACTAGATAAACCAATAACTTTCTTGCCTAAACATAGTTTTTAATAATATGAGAGAGAAAATTATAGAACCCTCGTCATAGCAACCGTCCTTTACCTTGACTGATGTGAGCTGTGGATTCTGGGGTAAGCAGCCCGCATGTGTTTGTCCAAAGCGATGCATTGCAGAGGCTTAGGAGGCCTCGGGCCGGTCCTCCGGGGGTCGTGCTCTCTGTCTCGGTTCGGTCCTGCCATCAATCCGTGGAGTAGAGGGCACAACTCGCACACCAGCACACACAGATATGAAAACACACATCAGCACCAAGCAGGCAAAATGTAACCTTTGATTTTTTAAAGGTAGTGAAAAATGCAGTCCTGTTGAGGAATACATTATGGTAGACAGGCGGATGGCTGGACGATGCAGATAGAAGGTTCTAATGACTAGTGTATATTAGCTCCACGTTTGGGGTACTACCTCTTACTCCGAATAAAGTTGCTATTTTGCAATTCAGAAATATCATAGGACACCGATCCAGTCAAACCCTTTTGGTCTTTCATTTATTTCTTTGTTACTGTAATTACCCTTTTTGCACCGTGGATTCTAAAGCACTGCAAACGTTTTGATGGGATGGACCGACTGTACCTGCACTCATTGCATAGGAGGTCTACAGGAGGACAGTTAAGGTTAAAAAACTAATGCGTGGGTCTGAGAGTCAGAGGGAAAAGGGCAGAAAATCAGAGCTCCAGAGGCTCTTCTCATTATCTCTTCTCATATTCCAATGTGGATGTGCATTGTGTGGGGGTGCGAAAACAGCAAGATCAACCACAGCAGCAGAATATGTGATGGTTCAATTATTGGCATATAGTATATTTAAATGGTGGAGAGGGATGCATGATGGAGAGTGCACTTCTGCCTGGCAATCATGTAGCATCCTGGATTGTTGGATTGTTGGTTTGATCAAAATTGTATACATAACTTGCATACAGATGATGCACCTCGTCAGTAACCGGGGAACAACAAGGAACAATTAGTGTTTAATTGGGCTTATCTGTCTGTCACTGACACACAAGATTTACAATCCAGTCAGCAAAAGTAATTCGCTCAATCCGTTTAATTGTGCCTCATCCATCAAGTATTTAACGATGGGTCAGAAACAGTGAGGCACGATGAAAAGCCTCACCCCCCCGCACCCACATGTCAGCAATGGTGGGAATGACAGCGCTGTGTTAGATGTGCATGATTTTCCACTGAGGCCATGTTCTTAAATCACCGCAGCCCTGATGTTGCTTTCCTCCTCTTCCCCGTGTCATGAAACCGGAACACACACATTACACACACTCTGCCACAAAGTGGAGGGAAACCGGAGGATACGCCAGAGACTAGACTTAAAAACTGTTACGAGGAGTTGTTACATAAGGACTTATGTATTATTAAAACCAGGCTCTTCTCACGAGCCCACCCAGCGAACACCCAAGTATCAACACACCCACAGAGACAAAGTAAAGCAAGTGGTGGTGAAAGAGGGATTCAAAGCTCATCTGAAATATTTATTAATTCACATGTTCTTCCGCACACTGACAAAGCGCCCATCAGAACTGACAAATTGCTGTTCTGAAGGATTATCTGACAACCTATCATTACGAGGGCTGCTGGAGAGAGAGAGAGCGAGGGGGGGGGCGGCTTAGTCGGTTTAGTGGTTCAGCCACACAGCCTACCTGCCTTTAGATTTAAGGGTTGTTAAAACGCACAATAATAAGGCTTTATTATAGGTATCTCCAAGGGATGTTCTGTGTCTTTGAATGGAAGCATGCTGACCTCTTTTGGGGCGTATGTGCCAGTACATCATTGACCAACTGCGTTCAAGATCTTCTGTCATGAAATACTCTATAAAGCCTTTTTTTTCACTAAACACACTAATCATATCTAATAGGATTGCTGTTAAAATCAGAATCCGACCTATACCTCTTTGTTCTACTGTCACTAGTCCATCAGCACTGGATGCTCTTCATTAGCACACTCACTCAGTGTCGTCTGAATGACAGAATATTGGATGTTGACTATTGGCGGGCTAAACGAGGATTAGTCAGATGAGCTCATCCTGAAAAACAAGCTGAAATAGAAATGAGGGCTTTAATCCGAGAAAGACAGGCTACTGTGAGGTATATATAGTGTGAGGTATATATGCACTTTGGTATTGTCGCCCTGTTTTATATCACAATATTACAATAGCACTACGTTTTGAGCCTGTGCATATTCACAATGTGAATACCAGTGGAAAAATAAAGCTCAATAATTGAAATCTTGCAGGATGACACGGTTAATGGGCCACAAAGAAGCAATGGCTTCAAATGGTGCATTTTCAGGTCTTGGTTAGCAGGTTTTATTCAAATACAATTTTAAAAAACAGTGTGGTGCATATTTAATATAGTAACAGTCAAACAGGGGATATTGCATACTAATCTATATACACTGCTGATGTGAGGAAGCACCGAGTTCAGCACTACATTTATCCAGCAAATACAGCATTCATTCATTCATAATCCCCGTGGTTACGTTGTTTCCTTTTTTCCATTTCCATTCTATTTCTGTACTCATACAAGCACAGTCACTTCTAACAGGCAGACACTGCCGTTACATGGTTGCAATGGGAACTGCAGGCTGCAAAATGTGGAGAATTTGTTAAGAATGAAAGAAATGTAAAGAAGCTACTTGACCGTCCTAGTTTTATTTTATTTAATGTATTCTGAGGAGGGTTTGCAATGTCAACCCCGTTGGTTTGTGCTCAGAGTTTGTGCGTTAGAAACAGAGGTCATGGAGTTCGACCTGCATCAATATGTGTCCTTTACCAATGTTACACAGTCAGACTGCAGCGTATCGAATAAACTACTTATTTACCAGCCCGCGTCTTGTCTTAAGACCTGTGGTGACCAAACATGCTCCGCCTTCACCCTTCCTTGTAAATTAGTAGTCATGTATGGTGACTTTGTGTTTTATATGTCTAAAATATTGCTCATGTTAAACACTTTGTAATTTATGTCTTTGAAACTGGTGTATAAATATATTTTACGTACTTGCTTACTTGATCACTTACCTTTGCGGAGCATCGTTGCCCAAACTGGGACCACAATTTAAATAGGGTTTGGTTAAATGCATGAAATAGCATCTTTGGTTAAGATAAGAAATAAAGCTCCACACTGTTGCTGACTCTTTATAACGGAGCAAAAGAGGATCTATTACAAATAGTTCCTGTAACTGCAAACTGTTTTGTGGCTCAAAGCTGTTCCAGGTATAATATGTACATATATATATAATATGTACATATATATAATATGTTAGCATTATTACAAGTCTAATTTATTTCAGTTTGTTATCAAAAAAACATACTTGACTTTTGTTCATCTTCATTCAAAACACAATGAGTGCAAATCCTAATGTATTACAAATATTATATTATACATTCTAAACATTTTTTTTTGCCATTCTGATGATAGAAATCTTTGTGTGTCTGCAGCCAAAAGGTTTAAAACAATTCTGCATTTCACACACACGTCCACCCTTCAGGTATCGGTTTATGAAAGCCAGTTACATGAAAATATAAAAGCACGTCACGTAATACAAAAACACAACAGAGGAACAGATTATATGTCTGTATTTATTTTCATCAGAACACTTTTGTAATCATTGTAGCATTATTTTTCATACTTTTCGAAAAGATCATGACTTGTGAGACTGTTTTATAAATCATTTCATCAAAGTTGTTTGTAAAAAAATTAAAGAAGTTACTTGAACTAAAGCATCTAGAATATTACAATATACTGGTAGTATAATAGTAATCATAATAATCATAATCGCAATGATACTTCTATATGACTTTGAACCTTTTTCCTCTCTATAATCATAAATCTTTCCCTTTCACACACACAGAACCTCAAACTTTCATAATAAGGTTGTGAAGTTGAGGACGAGTCTATTGGTTAAACCTCACCACATTCTCTTTTAACATCAAGGATTTCAGACACTCAAAATGAAATTAAAATAATTAGAAGAAGAAGAAGAAGAAGAAAGTAACAGCATGACATCAACTTAAAATACACAAGGAAACCTGGACGCAAAGACATACATTGTTCAGCATACTAGGGAACGTATTTACAACCAAAAATGGGCTTCTGCATAGATCCACAGGATGGAGAACGGAACTATTGTGAAAACACAGAGAGGGTGAGAGGGCGTTAAAGAGGGTCATATCTGATTGCGTACCATTCGGTCGACTGGGGGTGAAGGGCAACGGGCATATAGTCTGCTTGTGTAGGGGGTAAACATGACATTAGTTTGTGTAGGTTGGTGTGTTCATCACAATTTTTTCCATCTTTGTTGCAGTAAAAAGTGACACCCAGAGTTACCTGTTGGGTGCATTGCTGCATTGCCGCCAAACATCAAATCAGTCATTTACATCTGTAAAAATCCAATTCTATTACAGTCTGGAAGAAACCTTGCACAGAAGGATGTGTCAGTGGTGTTGACGTGTCTGCAGCCGCATGAAGGACAACACACATGCACGGCATTCGCACCCATGCAACCTCAGTGAGGATGCATCCCTGCAGGTGGAGCAGACATGGTTTGTTGTGCATAACGAAGGGTCGCTATGGGGATGGCTGTAACATTACAGCACGGACTGCTGACGTGGGAGGCAGAATCAATGTTTGTCTTAAAGAGATGCCCTGGACCAACACGTGTGAGGCTTATGGGATGGAATCTGTATGTCGCTGACATGGCACGTTTCTCCGTCACTGACCTTCCCCGTTTCCTCCTGTTGCCCCAATACGCCCGATCATAAAAAACAGCGCGTCATATTATAATTGAATTGGGTTTATTTTACTTATTATACCTGGTATGCTTTGGCACCAGTTTTAGCTTGTTGTCCACCTACATTCCTTACACATCCTTACCTACCTACCATGCACCATCTAATGTCAGATAGCGTTTGAGGGAATATTGTATCAAGTGTAGGGAAAAAATAGATCCACCCCGGCCCTACATTGTTTTGGGTCTTGGGGGTATGACACAGTTGTTACACATTGTACAGTACAATGGTTTTATACTACAGTCCATGCAGCTATGGGGCCGCGGTGAATAATGAGACAACTAATGTAGGAGGTCCCTGTGGGTCTAAAAACAGTGGCCCGCCATACCTGTCCTGCAGGCCCCAAGGTCGTAGCAACACTAATGAGCTCTCCAGAGAACGTAGCAAATGAGAAACAGATATGAACACACACACACACACACACACACACACACACACACACACACACTCATCTGCACACACCTGTGCTCACAGGCCTATAACTTTCTTCTTCAGAGCTCAGCCTTCCTAACTCGTCGTGGGAGAGTCTTTGTGTGATAGATATAAAAGAATATGAATATCTCTATCTACTGGCGGCCAATAGAATAGCAGCATTTTTCTATTACTGACTGCGGTCATCCGAGATGGGCATGGGTGCAATGTGCAAGACAAGGAATAATTATGTATTTCATGCAAGCAGAAACCTTCGTGTCTACAGTGGAGCAAGTACAAAACAGAATATGTGTCAAAATGAGCCAATCCCCTGGTTGGGTTGTATAGACATGGTGTGAATAAAGATGCATTTTAATATCCTCATATAAGCTGTATAATAAAATTCTTGACATCAGATATCTTACTGGACATATCATTTAAGTAATCAACACACTGGATAGAGGGAAAGAAATGCATTCAACAACATCTGTTCATCTACAAATACCTGATCTCACAGCCTGTTGCATCAAATAGACAAAAGACAATGTAGAAACCAAAGAAGAAGTCAGCCCTTAAGGTCACACCATTCTATTCTGTTCACTGGTCCACAAATACAAAATAAACATGAGTGTCAGGTGACTCGGACAATTCTCAGATTATGCCATTAGTGCCTTCAAAAACCGTGAGGCGATCTTCTCTGTGGGTTAGTTTCTCGTAGCCTTGAACTGTCGCCCAACCATTTGGATGTGCGTGTTGTAAAGACTGTGTCTGACTGTGTCGATGATGATGTTTGTACCGTATATCTTAATAAGCCCTTTACTTAATGAGACATCAGTCTGATGCCTTGAGGAGAAAGGTACGAGACAAGGGGGGGCCGGGGGGGGGCATGCTACTGGAGCTGAATTGGGATCAGTGGAATGTGGAGCGGCGCTGAGGACAATTAACCACCGAGGCTGTCCTAACCTTGAAAGAGAGCCTCCACATGCAGCAAATGAAAATGGATTACACATTGATTTAATAGAAACAAAGCGACATTAGAACAAATTGTCTCCGTGTAGCGGAGCATGTGTAGCGGTGCCTTCTCTGCGTGCCGCCGGGGAGCGGTGTCATTGTGTCACCTCATTGGTAGACTGGGGATTTTCCTTCACGCTCCTACAGCGAGTAAATGCAAACTTTCCAACTTAAAATCCGTAACAGTCCTTAAAGGGGACATCCAGCCATCCTGTTTCCTGTGAGTAAAAAGGCCTGAGGTTTAAATGACTCTACTGATAAAGATGTCAGTATCGGTTAGGGGGAAACTCTTGACTTGATTTTTTCTTTTCAAGAAGTGATGAGAGTATAAAATGATTTATACTTCAACAGCAAGGAGAGAGAAAAGAACCAAGGGTCCTTGAGGCAGAGGAGATAAAGGAACCAATCAAAGTACCTTAATTCTGACTGGATAGTCCCTTTACAATTTAAGATAACAAAAGACGAAAAACACATATTGATCCAGTGCAACAATCCTGATGTCAGTTAGCTTTGATGAGCAATGTTGCTAAAATGTGGCCACAATCTTTAAAGGGTTCCGCCTGAAATATTGTCTTTAAGACAAGCCTAACACAGTTTCATGTTTTGTTCTATGAGATAAAACCATCTGTGCTTTCCTTAACGTCCTGTGCAGTGATTAACTAAGCTAAATGCTAACGTGTGGCTGGGAGGGCAACAGGAGATTGATTGCAAAATGTTCATGCTACTGCCTGGCAGCTATTCCAGGTATAATATTGTATTGTTATTATTACAAGCCAATAATCAAAAAGGTAGATGGCTGCTAAAGAAAAATGTTGTATTTAAAAATGGAAAATGTTTTACGTGACATGTATCATTATCTCGATAATATTTTGTTCATCTTACTCAGCTCAAGGATACGTTTTGGGTTTGGTTTGGCCATTCTGTTTTAATACACATTGTTCCTTAGTTTTATAGTTTTGGCCATCAGTTTGATTGCGTATAGTAACATTGAATATATATAATATAAGCATTTTTAGCCATCCAGGTGATCTAAATCATTGCGTGTGTACTAAACATGTTGATAATAATTCCGCATTGCACAGAAAACTGCCTTTATTCAATCTGCTATATCAGTTTACTCTCCTTCTTCCTTCTCCCTCCGCAAAAGATTTGATGGTCCAAACTATTAAAAGAGGTCCTAAGCTGTAATAAAATTGACATACCCATAGTGATATTGGAGGAATGCTTCCTGTTTGTTCCTGTTGTGTTTCACAGATTAGCCAGATGAAAACCTTTTATTGAAGCGAATTACACAACATGTTTTGATCCTTCATTACAGAGTTGATAAATTATCTCACAAAACAAAGTGTTGCGAAAACACTGAACTTGTGTTAAACTCAGTGTCAGTTGTGGATAACAGAACCACATTCAAAACCCAGTGCAGTTCCAATGGGAGTGTGGCCACAACAGGACAGAGCTAAGTGACATCTGGGGGGCGGAGGGGGGGTCCATAAAAACATCATTGCTGCACCTTCCGGTTAACTAGACTTTTATGGTACATGTCAGCAACAGACTCTCATCCTCTCATACACACACATACACATGTTTAAAGACACGCATGCAAGCACACACCCGAGCACGCTCGCACACATACAGTAAATCCCCCCCCCAAAAAAAGAAAGAAAGAAAACATCTTGTACACACACACACACAAACTTGCAGCAATTTTTTTTACACATTATCTGTCTGAATTAGCAAACGCATTTTCTTCCTGTATGAGAGAAGCGGAAACAAACACAAAGGATGAACGTTAGAAAGAGAATATGATTGTGTTATTCCATAGTCAGCCAGTGCAACAGAAACCATTAATTGGAACACAGTGTAAAAAAGCGTAGTGAGAGAAAATCAGCCATGGGGAAGCCGACCTTTCCACTCAACAAAGGCTGTGGCATTGTCCCCTTTCTATCTAAGGGACTGGTTGAGCAGTATGTCTGTTTGTTTGTTCATTTATTTATTTGTCTTGATTGATTTATTCCCTCCGTCTCAAAGCGTCCCACACATTCCATCTATGTGTTGCAGAATGTCCGCAGGCACACAGCTCCCGCTGTCGGAAAAAACTGTGGCTGTATCATTCCACATCGGTTGCCATGGTGAGGGAATCCCCCACCCCAACGACCTCACCTCCTCCTGGCAGCTCCATCACTCCTCGTTGGCGGGGCTCTCCTCCAGAGGCGCGATGGCGGGGAGGACCAGTCCTGTTGCATTGTGGGATGCAGTGAGGCTGGCAACAGTATGAAGGAGGACGAGGACCAGCAGGCAGAGTTTGAGCCGGCTGTTACACAGTCTGCAGGCTGCCGAGGAGCTGAGGGAGGTACGGTGCTGGCACGGCGGGTGAGTTCTTTTCAAGGTCCCCCGGGAACGGTTGTCCACTTTCAAGTCCCACCGCACGTCACAGCACTCTGCATCTGGGTCAACACCTGACGGATAGTCCTCCAGCAGCCCTGGGGGTTGTTTGGAGGTGGAGATACAAACAGTAAGCCGATACATGTGGCATGTTTAATAAAGCCTGCACAAAAAGAGCATTGTTGCTCGTCCAGCGTTCCCCATAACTATATATAAGTAATAACTATAACTGACGGAGCTCAGTAATACTACACCTATGAACTTGCCAAGACACCACACTGCAATGTAAGTCAACATAAACAAATGGACATCTTTCATCTGAACAACATTTTGTAGTGTTTATTTATGGTTTGGTCTTGTTTTTTTAATGGTTTTCTATTTTGTTTATTTGTAGCAATAAACTGAAACAATTCTAAAGTTATTTGTCTTTGTATTTATTTTAGTTATTTGTGTTAGTTGTTTTCTTCATGTGCGGCCTCACGCTTCAGTGTAGCGAGTCACCTCACAACCAGGAACCAGGAATATGTGAGTTATTTATCTACATATCCCATCATCACAGCACAGCAACATTATTGTTGTTACCTCTGTAACTACGCCTACAGGTGCACACAGAGGTACTTTTGATGTTTGAATTTCACACGTAGAAATGGTCCACAAAAATACAGAATTTTAGGCTTTTTTTTTGTAAGCCTTATCCTTCTTTTTAGTTTTCCACATAAGCAATATCAAATAATCAAACAAAAAGGTGTGTAACCTTCTTGTTTGATCATTATTACATTATCAAAAGAAACACGTGCAATGATTTTAATTGAATTCGCCATCCTGTACCTGGAGTTGACATGGCGCTCAACATGAGCAGCAGAGGGCAGCATCAACATGTGATGTGATGTGATGACTGTGTGCCTCTGTTTGAATCATGTGGAACACAAATCTGCACACAGCAATGCTATCAGTAATCCACTTACTCATCTTTCATGAACGTGGAGACAGAAACCTGGTTTTTCGTTAAATATTTATTTAGGATTCAGATATGTGTGTGTGTGTGTGCGCGCATGTGTGTGCGTGTGTAGGCGTAGGAGATAAGCATGTTCACGCACACTTACACTTCCCCCCACAGTGCTGTTATGTTCAGTACAGATACTTATTGTCACTGTCCACCATCCTACAGATGCCTCTGGGTGCTGTGAGTAACTGGCAGATTGTGTTGTTGTGTTGCATCACACTGTTAGTCTTGTGATTAAAAAGAACATCCTGTAACTGTAAAGTTAATTGTTTACTGTGTAACCATCAGAGGTTGGGTGCCCTATTAAAGTATGATTGACCGGGACACTATGCGTATTCCCTCTCTGACCGACAGCATGATCTGTTGTGCATTTGTTACACCCGTCAGTGACGGTTATAAGGATAATAAGCACCAGGGCTAAAAACAATCAGAAGACAGCAGAAACTGTGGGTTGATTTTTTTTTGTACCTGTACATATAAAACTGGGGCTGCCTCCATGAATGAGATCGTCATTGTCGGGCAGGACGAAGGGGCACCGCTGCTGCACCTCCAGGCAGTACTGACCGCAGGGGATTCGCTTACTGCAGTGCATTTGGGTGGTCTGGAAGTACTGAGAACACAGCCAGGGCTTATAAACCATCTAGGACAGAGAGACAGAGGTGAGGGCAGGGGAGGGAGAGGAGACATTCGGGGGGGGGGGGGGTCAAAAAAAGGAAATCCATGAGTTTTGGAGGGTTGCAACTGGATGAAACGCTCACACACGGGCAGACATGAACGTGCATCATCGATGACCTCCACAGCTATTGATTCCCACTGAGCAGATATCCTGTTGATCCCGATATCTGCTGTTTAACGGATGTGGCTGCTACAGTTTTACCCAACATCCTCCGTAGAAACAACTCAGCGTCTTTTGTCTATTTGTCTATTTAGGATTTGTTGTAAAATGAGAATGAAACAAACTGAGCAGTCGTTTTTCCACTAAAAGAAACCATAACATTTAAAAAAGTAGGCCTTCAAGAATAAAAAAAAAACGCTTGACAGCTCTTTTAACACAATGCCAAAGGTGGACAGCAATCAGAATTATTAACAGTATCTGATGCAAACACAGCAGGAAATTATTTCATATCACAGTTCGCTAACATTAAATAACACAAACACTAGTGTTGTGTTAAAAGAAATAGCTTATTTTGTATGTGACATCAGTCCAAATATGCTGTTTGTTAACCTCGGTTTGCTTGTGTTTATTTGTAAAAATGTCATTTTTTCAATTTTTAGGAGGGCACAAGTGGGGACAAATGAATTACTTAGCACTTAATTTGTCTCCTCTCATTTCATAAGCCAGTCGCTACGCAGTATAATCACCTGCAGTAATTTGCTGCTATTTCCTGTGAAACACTCCAGGGACTGTGAGGCGAGCTAGCACCTGCTACAAGCTAATCATCAGGCTTTAAAACAGTGCAGCAGACCAGATCGTAGCATGCGGTTGTGAGCCAGAAAGAAAAGACCGAAGATTGAATGTGCACGAGGATATTTAGTAATGTACAGTTGGTCTCATCTGGATCTCACACATGTTTACAAAAACCATGAACAATTTCCAGTGAAAAAATAAACGTCCCATTATTTGGACAGGTGCTAACATTTCCTATCATATTACTTGATGATGCTTGGTTGATGCCCGCTCACATTCTGCCGCAAAAGTGTTCCTTGAATGTGGTAAATGGTCGGTACTTGGTTGGCGCTTTTCTAGTTTTCCAACCACTCAAAGCGCTTTGATGCTTTGTGTCTTGCTCAAGGACACACAGCGACACGCCCGTCAGCATCGAACCGCCAACCTTCGTATTGGAGGATGACCGTGCTCTCCACTCCCCCACGGTCCCCCAATAGTATGGCAATAGCCATCTAATGCTGTGTCATTTCACAGATATTGCTGCATATAATTGGGACATTTCCAAAGTATTTAGTGATTCAAACAAGAATGAAAATAAATATGTAAAAAAAAAATGCATTGAAAACTATTCTTAGAAATGGTCTTGTATTGATCTTTACAAATGATATGTTTTAGGTCTGTTAAAATGACCTGAGATAATGAGAAAAAGTTAAACAGTTTACTGTATTGTGACAATAAATTGCCAAAATATCCCTTTACGCTACTGAAGGACACACTCAGATGTCATTTTGTAGCATCAGGAATGGACTGTTCCATTACATCATTATGTACATAATGCTTTAACTTAGTAACTGCTCGACTGAATCCTCTGTCACGCTCATTGTAGGCTGAGAGACACACGTGTTTTACTAAGGACCTGCACACAGTGACATTCTGCACACATGCACAGACACTGTACATGTAAATTGCTGTGCGCTAATAATTGGATTTCCTGTTGAAGATAAGGTTGGTTCCCGTGGACACCGCACACACACACACACACACACACACACACACACACACACACACACACACACACACACACACACACACACTGCCCTTCTCTCTAATCTACCCCTGCATGAATGTCGCAAATGAAAATGTGTCTGCATTACCTAATGTCACATCTTGTACAGCGTTAGATAAATATTGCCCAACTACTCGCAGGTTGATGTACATTTGGACACGCTCATGTCCTCCCGATGCCTGTGTTTGGATAACTAAGTTTGGACAAGTGACTGTCTACACTACACCAACAATGTCCCTCACAATGTTTGTCAAATAGTGAGCCGGTTTTGCTATTGGCCAGATATTTCCTCCACACAACAGAATCTCAGAAAAAATGTTAAAGTCGAGGTCTGATGGATTATTTGCATTGAGGCTCAGACAAAAATAATAAAAAATCTAAAGCGGAATCATAGACAACATCACAACTGAAGACAAGACAACAGCAGACAAGGTCTCATATACCATTTGTCAACCTCATTCCCATTTGTTTCACATTACAACAGAATTCAGAATTGCTTGATGCTAATGCTTATTTAGAGGGAGAAAGAACCACCGACCGTAGGTCAAATAAAGGTAACACCCAGACCATGTGATGGGAACAAATGAGGGGCGGGCGAGTCCTGTGAGGCTGATCAGTCAGCAGATCTTCTGTGACAAGTGAACAGATGCGGGGTAGAAAACTTTTTGGCCCTTTGCCACACAGCCGTGTCCTTTTTCACTCAGCTAGTGAAGCTCAGGGCTGCAGCATCCGAGATCCCACCACCGCCGGTCAACTGTGGACGCGTTACTGGCGTCCTGCTGTCTGATCTCAGAGTGCCTGACAGCAAGTGAGAGAGATAGTGGGACGAGTGCAATGACAGAAATAGTTGTAGAATGGACTCTTTCTCTCAATTCTGTACTGAGAGTCAAATACTGCCTTCTCCGACTCGCCGACTCACCGACTCAGTGAGTTAGAGGTCAGCCAGCTGGCTCTTGAATTTTAATTATCCTTCGCCTGTCAACCTTCCCCTCCTTTTGATTTCGCTGGCTGAACTCCTGTCATTGTGTCATCTTTCCAATTAAGGATGCAAAGTTGACACAGTATCACGATATTAGCAGGGATTGATGACCTTTAATCATGTTGTACATGGCAAGCCTTGAAAAATGTATTTTCATACAATGGCTGTGAACTGCAATGTACCATGATGGATCATTCCTTCAGTATGTATTGATCAAGGGTAGCCCATAATAATTTATCAGTGCAATGTAAATATGCAATATGTGTTGCAAATGATCAGCCTGATCTCACAGAATCACATGATGGATGGATTGAGAACCACTCAACACCACATTGTGTTGCGGTGATGTAATATGCTGGCAGGCTAACTCAACCCCAACAGTCACCTTCAACATTCTTTAACTTTAGGACAAGAACACAGCACATCAGCTCAGTTTCTCTTTGTAACAGAGCTCCTGTTGTCAATCACCCCTTATTTACATCACCTCTACTATGCTGTTCATCCAACATTTCCATGCATTTATGTGTGCCGGAGAATGTATATTGCTTTGGATATAAACATCCGTTAAATGTATAAAGAATAGGTATAAAGAAACAAACACATGTAAATGAATAGTGTAAATTAAATGCAAGAGATAAAGAACACATTTCCACAGCAAATGCTTTAGTTCAGTTGCAATCTCACTGCACAATGCAGAGATGTCTGGCAGCATGAATGCAATCAAAGTCAATGGAATGAAGGGATGCAGATGCTCAGAACAGATGCTCAAGGCACTTTAGGAAAACAAATCTGTTAAACTTGAAAATGACAAGAAACTCTGTGATTGCTGTAAAAGCAAACATCAGTTAGGAAACTAAAAACACTCCTGTGGTCAAGGCGCGCTCAAAGTTTGCTTTTGAAATGAGAAAAAATATTGGAATATTGGAAAGGTTCAGGTTGTACCAAGACACAATCTGCAGCTCTGCTGTGGACATCGTTTTACCATCATTAAAAATAATGCCACAGTATTCCGCTACATCGCCCTCCCCTCCCTTCTCTCCCCTGGTTTAATTGCCTGTTGTTTATCGGCAGAGTCTCAGCTGTCCTCTAGATTGGATTATTTCATAACGATTAGGCTAATAAGGTTGTAATTGATGGAAGGCCCTATCCTGCCCTGTGGTATTGGCTTTAAGTGCCCTCGGATGGCTCTGCCTTGTCAGAGCCTCATCTTTAATGTTGTGGTTGTTGCAAAACTGCTGACGGAAGCTGAGAGAGTCGTTAGCAACACACCAGATTACTGTAACTCTTTTCCCTTCAGTATGCAGCACAGCAGCGGTGTGTCGAGGCGCAGACACACCAACACATGCAGAGTCTCAGGAGCCTCCTCGGTGAATTACAACTAACACAGCCCCTCACCGCGTCGACGATATGTGCTGCTTTTTCAAAATCCTCCTTCTACTCTTCTTATTTTAATCCTCGGCTTAAATAATAATAAAACAGTTCAAAAAAATCTTTGGATATTCACTCTGACTATGTTAATGACTGCAAATGGTTGCATTGAAGAATCCTTTTTGATTTTGACAAGTGTATAAATATTCTCAGACGAGGCATTTTGAAATGTAATTTTCTAGTATTAAAATGAATTAATGGACCCTATGCACGGTATTCTGTCCGCTGAAGATAAATGCAATTTCCCCATGAGCACAGATTATCATTCTAGAAAGCTCTCTACGGCGTTGGATGAAATGAGCAGTCCATTCAAGCAGCGATCAAAAGGCAGTCAGACATGTAAGGAATCAAGTAGATAACGAAGGTTAAACGCCGATGATAAAAAAGAAACAGATCCACAGTCACATATGTGAACAAGTGCTTGACTAAACACACCAGTAAGTTTATCATTGTAATCAACGGGGAACTCAAACAGAAAGAAAAAGTAAACCACGGGTCACTGCAAGGAAAGCACAAGTATAATAAACTTAATCTCAGTGCAGAACATTTCACTGCCTGTTATGTTCTTCTTCTGCAATTCCTTTAATGTACATGTCCAACATATGTATACATATGTGTGTATGATGATTAACTTGGGGCTCCAGCACCTGGCAAGCATTAAAACAGTGTCAACTGCAGATGTAGCGTAGCTAATGACCTAAGCAACAAACACACAAGTTTAGCCAATGCTGTTAATGTAAATATAAGGGCAGGCGAGGCTGCCAGCAGACTGAAGCCGCA